CGTTTTAAACATTTTACTTTTTCAAATATTTTTTTTGAATTTTCTCCAGTTCATAGAAACATCATAGTAACATAAAAGTCCTGTAGCGTGAGCAGACCTTGGGCTAAGACTGTGTGTTGGTTTCAGCAGTCTGCCCCGGTCAAACCTGTGGAGATAAAGAGCCATTGCTCAGGCACCCGGATGGACCCCAAGATCTGCCCCGGACACCCCGATTTCATAGCCTTCATTAACAACAACGACCTGTGGATCGCCAACATCAAGACAGGAGAGGAACGGAGACTGACATACTGCCACAAAGGTTTGGCCACTTTTATAAAGTTCCAGCTTCTTCGTTTTTTTTCCAAACACTAAAAGCCTTCAATTATAAAACTACAAAGAGAGGAGTTACGTCATTGTTTATCATCACATAGAGTAATGGTGCTTTAATAATACCTGCTTACAGAGTTCATTTAGACCAGAGGCTCCTCAATTTTTTAGCCTTTGACCCCAAAGATGATAACTGAATCGCCTCACGACCCAAATAACCCATTGAATGTTTCTATCGTATCAATTGATCAACAACCAACATAGAAGGTTTATTGGTGCCTTTCTCCACCTGTCTATGAGTTAGAGGTGGTGGGGTCCACCCTGGGCAGGTCGCAGGTCCATCGCAGGGCAACACCATTCACACACTCACTCACACCTAAGGAGAATTTAGTGAAGCCAATTAACAGTCATGTTTTTGGACGGTGGGAGGAAGTCAGAGTACCTGGAGAGTAGGGGTGTAAATCACATCCATCGTGGCGATTCGATTCAGTATCGATTTCCTGACCCGACGATTCGATTATTTTCGATACTCAAGTATACACTTCGATTCGATTCGATTAATCGGTTAATTTTTTTATTTTTATTTTTTTTGTTTTACACCTTACAGGCTAAACAAAGTTTCAAGTTTGAAATAAATCAATGAAAGCTGTAATATCGTTATGCATTTTTCTTTTTAAGAAACAACAGCAAATAACAGAAGTAGAAAAGTTGCATCAAAAAATGCTGCACAGAATCAGTGCAATGAGTGCAATACCTCGGCTCCAGACGTCCCCCCCCCTCCACAGACGCTCCGCTGCTCCTCTCCCAAATTGTAGC